CACACGCACGCACGCACATGCACGCACACACGCACGCACGCGCACACACACACCACACGTGCCGGTGTGCTTGGCAAGCCAGTGGGTCTGGGACTTCTGGCTGTATGGGATTTAGCCGTCAGACCCTCCATGCTGCGGGCTGGCCTAAGAGGTCATCTTCGAGGGGTGAGGGTGGCAAAAGGGGCACGAGGGACACCGTGCTTCCTGGTCTGGTCACCAGGCGAGTCACAGCAGCCACACCAGGACAAGTGTAACTTGTGTACTTTTCTCGAGGGTGCTCAGAAGTAACTCCTGAGAAAGGACAGCGGCCCCGTCGGCCTGCTCCTCGCCCTCTCCCCCTGCCGTGGCCAGCCTCCCTGTTCTGGGTGCTGTGGGAGGGCAGGATCTGAGGGGGGCAGTGGTGGCAGGAGGCTGCACCCTGTCTCCGTCCTGTCCCCAGCTCTCCTCTATCCCGAGGGTGGGGCCGCACCGAGCTGAGAGGTCCGGCCTCCCCAGGGTGTCTGCTTGCCCAGACGGCCTGCCCCAGCCTGGCGTCAGTGCCCAGGATAGAAGTGGGGCCTGGCAGAGGGGTCAGGGCACTGGGGTGAGCCCCATGAGGGGACCCTGGCCACACACCTGGGACCCTCTCCATTTTCTGCGGGACCTGGCTGGCCCCTGTCCCGCTCTTTGCCCCTGCCCAGAGGAGGCTGAGGGTGTGGACAGTGGGCGTCGGAGGATGCAGCCCACCAACTGCAGGGCCCAGGAGGCTGACTCCCGAGTGAGCCCTACCTCCTCTGTGGCCTCTCAGAAGGTCTTGGGACCCTGCAGCCCAGCCCCAGGGGCCCAGCTGCCTCACCCAGATCCCTGGACCAGTGGGCCTCCTGGGGAGGAGGGCGGGGGGTAGGAGCCTGAGCAGCCAGCGCTGCCTGTCACCATGGCAACGCCTCCCTGCTGGGCCGAGGCAGGTATTGGGCCTGGGGGGGCGGGGCAGGCTGTCCTTGCCCCTCTGAGGGCCACGTCTCCTTCCTGGCCTCTCAGGTGGACTCAGAAAAGCCTCACTGGATCTGGCCCCACCAGGGCTGCTCTGCCTACTGCCTGCTGTCAGGCTGCTGCCCAGTCTCTGCTCCAGGGTGCATGATTTGCTTTCCTAAGGAAAGCCCCCAGCCCAGAGCTCCCCTGCCATGGAGATGCTTAATTTGCTGCCTCAGAGCTGAGAGCTGGCCACAGGGGAGGCCCCGGCCCCAGAGGCAGCCAGGGCCCTGGGGCTCAGGTGGGCTGGCAGACGCGATGCTGCCCCAGGGACGGAGCCCAGTGCCCTGCGATCAGTGGTGGCTGGAGCCCAAGGCCCTCTGCAGACACTGCCAGGCCCCAGCCCCTGTATGGGTGGGCTCGAGCCCTGGAAGGCTGGGCCAGGCTCCCAGGCTCCGGGAAGGCACAGGGGTCTGGCGCATGGCAGGCTGCGGCAGGAAT